TTCAGGTCCTGTTGCCTCTCCTCGTAGGGCCTGCCCTGCTGCCCCCTGACCATGCGAGTGGCCTCCTCTGGACCCTCTCCATGTTGTCCACATCCCTCCTGAAGTGCGGCGCCCAGAACTGGCAAGGTATGTTTGGCCTTCCTGACCACGTCCCCACACTGCCAGCTCATGTTCATCTTGGCATCAGTGATGACTCCAAGATCCTTTTCTGCCTCTGCACTGACGAGAAGGGAGTTCCCCAGCCTGTAGGTATGGTGCTGGTTCTTCCTCCCCAGGTGCATCACCTTGCACTTGTCAGTGTTGAAACCCATCCTGTTCTCATCTGCCCACCCCTGTAACCTGTCCACATCTAGTTGCAGCCTGCCCCTCTCCTCTAGTGCGCCCACTTCTCCCCACATCTTAGTGTCATCTTAGTGTCTTGCTTGCATGCTCCCAGTCCAACAATCAACATATTCAGATTTCAGCCCCCCCCCCTCCATTTTGCTCTGAAGCAAAGAACGAGGGTTGTCAGGCCAAACCCCACTTACGCAGTTCCCTTCTACTGTGAGGAACTCGAGCACTGGTAACATTTTGGTCTCCTCTGTTCCCTGCCTTTGCCATTAAACCATCTGATGTCCCAAGGACCATGTGGCGTCTGCCTAACCCAAGACAAGCAGATGCCATACAGATGCAACCAGGTGCAACGTAGTGACCTTTGAGATGCCAGGTCAGAGCATTAATCTAATGGTACCTTCCAGTCTTAAACTCTATAAAAAAAGTCTACAAAATAAAACTTTTCACACTCAACATGCTAGGTCAAGAGACAGAAGGGTTCTGCTTTGCACAGAACTCTCTTCAGCACCAACAACAGTAGAATAAGTAAAATCTGTTTGCAAGATAGAATATGACAACACAGTACGGAAAATATTACCCTAGTGCTCAAAGCATCGTAAACATTGGAATATAAAATACAAAAAGTCCCGTTCAGTGTCCTTTTAATTAAAAGTTAACACTAAATGAAAACAAATGTCAAGATTCCCCCAATACTTAAGAACTTTATTTTTTTACTTAGAAGCACTAGAATACATTTCTGTTTAAAATTAAAAGCTCAGCAGGCACAACTGTTGGTACCAAAGATGCCTGCCTACTCCAGAGATGGACACAGCACATGTACTTAAAACAGACCAACCCTGATATGCCAACAGATGCAGTCAGTCAGTCGGCAGGTAGAAAACGCACACAACTGTACTTAGTTCTGTGCACGCAGAACACTTCCGCTATAAGAACAGCTGGAATTCAGCAAGCACATGCTGAAACATTAGGGCACAGAAGTCAAACCTACAGTGCACATATGTCTGGCTTGCACAGGGTCTTTACACAGCCCCCAAAACACACCCAGATCTAAGCGTTTTTTTTAGTGACAAGTTCTATCCTTACTGGCTGTAGAGACACTCGTTCAAACGTGACCCAAGTAGAAACCAGTCCCACAATGCTGGCCGGATGCGTAGACAGACTGCACCTGACTGAAGCATGAGTACCACCACCCCTAAAAAAGCTCACGACAGAATCAGCTGTAAAGTGCCACTTCCGTGCATCTCTCAACTGTTCCCCCATGGATCGCCCTGGTACAGGGAACGACGAGGGCAACTGGGAGCGAAACCTCTGAATGGGGAGAGCTGGATGTTACGACAGAAGGAACAACAGGAAAGGTGCAAGAAGATGAGAGAGACAGAAACAGAGAAGGCAAGATGGAGAAGGATGAGAAACAAAGAAGAGGAGGGGGAAGCAGATTTTCTGACGGGGTGACAGCAAATACAGGAGCGCAGCAATCTAAAGCATCGGCATGTAGGAGTTGTGCATTTTCAGTAGTACCTGCCAAAGCACTCCCCAATGTCAGGGCGAGATCCAAAGGGATCCAGTAGGAGCATGACGCCCTATCTTGAGTTGTAAGTGATAAACAAGCAACTTGGCTCTCCGTCCTGCATGCGCTGGTGCCCCCAAGAACGCGTCGTGGATGGAGGCAGCCACGCTACCAAAATTTGATCGCAGCCCGGATTACACGAGGAAGCTCCACCAGCAGCACCTGCCATTTGCACCATTGCGGTTGTGGTCCACAGTCCACGTCGTTTCCTACCAACAACCCCCACGTTGCAGTACCGCTACTGCCCCGTTTGGACCGCCCACGGTCCTGAGCAGCCACGGGCACACCTGCGACACCCCGCTACACAGCACAGCGCCTCCTCCACGGGCGCCCTCCTGGCTCCACTCGTCTCCGGCACAAGGGACCTGCAGCCGCGAGGGCAGTGCTTCTCAGCCCATGGGCTGAACCCCACAGCGGGTCACACAAGGGTATGAAAGGGTCACGGGCAAGCTTTAAACATAGACTCTCCTTTAAAAGCATGGGGAGATGTGCTCTGAGAAGGCGTCAGGGCTCCAGCCTGCAAGGGGCTGCTTGGGGCCGCCCTGCCCCACCGCCTGGGCCTGGGCGTTCACGAGTGGGCGCTGGTAGGGAGCCGGCTGAGGCGCAGCGGGAAGGGGCAGGCAGTGATGGCTGGGGGACCAAACCCCGCAGCTGAGCAACAGCGGGCAGGAGCCCCCCACGCTGCCCGACCGCGAGAGGGAGACCAGCCGGCCCCAGGCTCCCGGCCAGGTCGACCAGCCCGCCTCGCCGCGCGGCCCACGGC